AGCAGAAACATGTCAAGGTATGTGAATGTCTGTATTGGAGATCTTCCCCCCGGTCCCTGTCATATCAAGGCATCTCCTCTTTGGGCTCTGCCTCATTGGCCTTGTTTAGCTGCTGATTATGTGCCCAGGGTAGCTGTTTTCTGCCTTGATGTAATGGATGGAGAAGAATTTCCCAGCACAGCAGGACTGGTTTGGGCAGTAGCTTTTCTTTCCATTGCACTTGTCTTTGGCATCTGCCTGGTCCTGCCCTGGTCAGCAAGTACCTCACTTGTCTGGACACCTAACAGATGTGGAAGCTTTGTGACAGTCTGAGCTCTTGTATCTTTTTGCAGGTCTTTGTACGTCATGATGCACCCAGCTCTGTGTTCATTGTGTTTGACACGGAAAACAGGATATTTGGTCTGCCAAGGGAGCTGGTTGTAACTGTTGCAGGTAAAGTGACGCTTTTATCAAAGCTTTGAGCTTTGCTTTCTGTACCGGTTCTTGCCGACAATGACCCTTCTCTTCACTGAACTGGAAGAGTCACCTGCGGACTTAAGCCGTCTCCTGCTTTCCCTTCTGAACACATGCTTGTCCTTGCAAACTGGTCCAATAGCCTTTGGATCTGGTGATGCTGGGCTGGTGGATGGGAGGGAGGGAGGGAGGAAGCAGAGAGCGTTGCAGGGGTCTGAAGGGTCCAGAATGGACTTTGAGATGCCTAGAAAGGGGAGAGCCTGTTTGTGCATAGAGCTGGGACCTAGGAGATCTTGCTGCTTCCCCAAGGTTTCTGTTGAGTGGGGTGGAACCAGGTAAGTGTTAAAGAGTTTGGTTTTGGTTTGGTTTGGGGTTTTTTTGGGTTTTTTTTTTTTTGTTGAGATGGCAGCTGCTGAGGAGGCTAACGTTTATACCCAGTGGTGTGCAGAGGAGCTGAGTGATGCTATCCTAGATTACAAGCACAGAAAATAAAGCTAGTACAGTGCTGCTCTGGGAGCAGCTCTCTTGCATGGCATGTTTTCTGTGGCCTAGGAGGAAGGAGCAGGGTCACAGTGAAGTGGGAGAAGTGGTTGTGACTGTAGAAGGGGAAGAGAGATGGTGGCAAGCCTATGAGTCTCGAGTCTCTGGGAGGGGGGGAATATTTCATTAACTTCAATGTCTCCTTTCCGGTAGGTGCAAGTATGTCTGCCCTGGTCCTCACCGCCTGTATCATCTGGTGTGTCTGCTCAATTAAGTCCAACAGACACAAGGATGGCTTCCATCGCCTCCGGCAGCACCACGACGATTACGAGGACGAAATCCGCATGATGTCCACAGGCTCAAAGAAGTCCCTCCTGAGCCATGAATTCCAGGATGAAACGGACACTGAAGAAGAAACACTGTACTCCAGCAAACACTGACACGTCCCGGGCGGGAGAGGAGGTTCCCGTGGACCAGACCCAGTGGCGGGGGGCGATCCCTGTGGTTCAGTTTTGAAACATTAGCTTGCAGGATGTGTCCTCCAGCGGTGTGGGTGGCAGCTCCCAACTTCCTTCTACTATTTGCTCTGTTCCTATGTACGTGCAAATCAGTGGGTGTTGGAGGCAGCGTTTGGGCTAAGGGCATGGCTTGTTTCATTTTTGGGTCAAGATCTGGAGGTTCATGTGACGTTGTTTGAAAGGCAACTTAACAGGGTGGCCAGCGGGGTTCCTAGCACTTCCCCAGCATCTCAACACAGTGAGCAGATGGTGGGGAAGTGCCCCCAGACCTGCATGGGGTCATAGTTACAACACTCCAAAGCAGTTTCTCTACCTGTTTTCATTTCATGTTTTCCCCTCACTACTTGGGGGAAGCCAGATCCTTCACTCCCATGTTCTGCAGAGCAGCCCTCAGAAAAAGACTGTACTTGGTTCTCAGCTGCTCTCTTGGAGCTTTTCCCTACTCTGAGAAGCTGTGGTCAGCTATGATCTGCAGTGGTTGTGGAGCACCTCTAATGTGTTGCTAGTTCCAGGTGGTGACTTGGAATTCTGAAAGCTGGGGGAGATGACGTCCATTCTTGATGTGAGCTGGAAAGGAGCAAATGTCAGAGCTTCAGTGAACTCTGACAAAGTTCAGTTGATTGCCAGCTCTGTGGTACTGCTGTTCCTGACTTTGGGGAAGACGGAAGTTTTACCCCCATCATCCCTGGTTGCTTCTTGTTTGTGTTGGCCTTTGGGGTCTCATGTTAGCATTACCACAGCACAGTGTCTGAAAGAGCAACTGAAGGTTGTTCTAAGCAAATGGATAAACTGATTGTGGTAGATACTGTAGAAAAGCAATTGGTTACTGACCCCACCTGATCGGTTTTGCTCAAGTCCATCACTATTGAGGAGGAAACAATGAAATCTGACCACTGCTTTGTATTTGAGCATTATTGGAGCAACAGGGAGAGGTCATGGCAGTATCCATGGCCCAACTTCAGTCTTAAATTTTGAAGAAAAGCTGCACCATTTGCCATTGTCCACCTAATACTGTTTAGTGATCAGAGCACTTTGGAAACACCCTCTCCTCAAGCTCTGGTGATGGTAGGCATCAAATCATCCTGCTGGCTTGGCTCTGTTCTGCTACTACAGCGTCCCTGAAGCGTGTAGCAAGAGCTCCACCTGCTTGTGTGTCTGCAGTTGTGTCCGCTGCTGTGGGAGCCTGGGTGCAAGGTGTGAGGAAGGGCTGAGCTGAAAGAGAAGGGAAATGCAGCCAAATTCTGTTTCATAGCACTTGGCAGGAAGTTGGAAAGAGGAGCTGCAGCGTGCATCCCCAGGACATGTTAGATAGAATAGAAGGGGAATAGAAGGAATGTCCAGAAGGGAAGAATGGCTGAAACGGTTGACTTGCAAAGCCTTTATGCATCTTTGATGTTCCTGTGCTTTCTGGGCAGAAGGCTGGGGCTAGAATAGGCACTTCCTTGCTGCTCTCTTTCTTTTTTAATTCTTGCCCCACTGACCCAAGCCCTGGGGCACAGGAGCCTGGTGCAGCAATGTCTTGGGCATCTAGTTTGCCCTGAGCTCATCTATTCTCCAGCAGCCTGGGGGAGTCTGCTAGTGAAACCTGGGTGTGGTGTTGATGGGGGATGTTTTCACCCAAACGTATGATGGGGTCTGTTCTGCTGGGCTCTGGCCTGGTCTCTGGTGGGGGAACAGCACAGCGGGTTCCTCGTTGAAGGCTGCTGGGCTGCATCACCTTGGGAAGGAGCTGTTCCTTGCCTCTGCGTGCGGTAGATGCCCTTCTGGAACCATGTGCCTGCGGCCATGCTGCTGTGCTCATCGTCTCAGCAGCTGTGTGCTGATTTTGTGCCGTTATCTGGAGGGACGATAACCCTTGGGCACCAGTGTACCTTCCTCCCTGTTCTGCAGGGAGTTACACTGCAAGAAGCACGTGATAAAATCGGGCTTGGGAGGTGCTCTGGAACAGGGAGCTGAGGCTGAGCATTCCCCGTGCTCCTGCCCTGCAGCCCTGCGGTGTGAAAGAGCTGCTGCTCTTGTTGCCCCTGTTCTGCAGGAGCCATGAAGGTCCCTGTGCCTGCTCCCAGTTCACTGTGCTGAGCAGGGGCTGGGGCTTGGTCCTGGGCCGTGACCCTTTTCCATCTGTAATGGGCTGCAGCACACAATAGCTGCTAATCTCTGAACTTTTCCTGCTTCTGAGGGCTTTAACAAGAGGTACAGCTGGGGTTTTATATTAAAGTTGAGTTTGCATATGGCTCCTGGGGCTCTGTTTGGGCGTTGTTTGCTCAGGCAGCAGGTAAGGGACGGAGCTGGCCTTCCTTTGTCCCACTAGCAATAAATCTCATTAGGAATCAGCCCTCTCCCTCCAGCGTGCGTTCTGCAGTTAGCGTGGGGTAGGTGCCTATTTTTAAGGTGAGTGGATTCAAGATGTTTTGCAAATGTGTGAGACTTTTTCTATTCAGCAGCACCAGGTGCTCGCTCTGTGCTCGGAGCCGCAGCAAGTAACTGCTAGGGCTGTTTGTCACCAGTTTGGGGAAGGCAGGAGCAGCCTCCCCTTGCCATCAGTCTGTCTGTCCGTCCGTCCGTCCAGCTGCAGGAGCGCCTGTGTCACTTCTGGCAAGGAGCTGGTCCCCTGCAGGTGCTTGTCCCTGGAGCGTGTCGGTCCGTGCACTGTGCCTTCAAATGTACATTTTTAAAAGGGACTTGAATCGCCTTTTCCTGGAAGGGGGAGGGGGCGGCATGAGGTGAGGCAAGGCCTGGCTCTGTCCTCAGCCGGGCCCTCTGGTTTTTTACCTGTATACTGAGATCCAATAATCTGTATAAAACTATTTTGATGTCCACCTGGGTTGGCTCGTTCTTCCTACAGGGGGCGGTGGGGGCTCGGGGC